AGAAAACTAGAAAACTTAAAAAATGTGTGTTAACATTCTATCAACATTCAATATACAGCAAATATAAATACAATATCTCAGTCAAACAATGACAACAGTCAACAGGGCCCCCACACCAAATATGCCTAAGGGCCCCCTCTTCCTCCGTTACGCCACTGCGTTCATTATTCGTGCAATGTTTAACTAGAAATGCCAGATTTTTGAGCAGAGTTCTCCAATCGCAATTTTTATATAGAATTGCCCGATTTTAGGGAGAATTTGCCGGACGAGAAAATATGCCAGTCGATTCAATGTCTCTCGGAAATTGGAAAAGGCGGAGTACGGAATATATCTAAAAGTCTATAGGCAATACATTTTTAACAAGCTTCGTTTTTTCCACCACCTTTCTTGACTCATTGTGGAACGAAGGTACGTCTTCACCCTTCGTAACCCATTGAAAGGTCTTTCATGCAGAACATGACGTAGCTGGAAGCCTGGAATCGTTGCCAAGATGGAATTGCTTTGTAGAAAACTGGAGTACATCCCCCGAAATGCTAGCGTATGACTACGGAGTACCGTACATCTGGCGTACCTCGATCTAGGGTATTCAGCGTGCGCCTAGAGTAAGCTTATATAAACCATATATGTCCGAATACGTACAAAATTTAAGCATGCTTAAAAAATTTTCTGTCTCGCCGAGGCTCGCCGTATGCCACCGTATACCGTGCTTGAAACGTATTTTCTTACGCTGACATACGCTAGTACGATTTGCAATAGTGTGACAGGGCCTTAACCGACTCAATACCATCCTACAATCAGGGGCAAAAAGTATTGAGACAATCGCATAAATGCCCCCCTCGCTCTGCGAATGACTGAAAAGAGAAAATTCAGTCCACTTTTTCAACATTGGTCATTGGACAAGGGGGGAGCCTGACGTACTTTAAAATGGCCAAAAACGTGAAAAGTCTCATTATTTTTGCACGCAATTGTCTAAGATGGAGCTGTCTGGAGGTTAACTGTCCAAAATTTGAAATTTTAACAAACTCTAGCTAAAAAGTTGACATGAAATTGACATATTTCAATAGGCAATTAACCGAAATATAGAAATTCTGCAATTCCGCCGCGTATGCCTATGCGCGAAGGGGAGGGGTGGTGGGCCATGCCAGAAAATTGAGACCATCTTAAATCATGTTCGTGACGTTCAAATGTAGGATTAGCGGTATAGTGTGTTTTCACGCGAACCTCTGTGACGTCACTAGAATTTAGCGTCCGCCATGTTGGTGGAGTAAAACGCGTTACTTATTTTACTAGTGTTTACTTATAGCTGTGCCAAATCTGTTCGAAATATTCCTCAATATGCCGGCTTTTTGTGTAGTTTTAAACTGTTCAAATGACAAATCTAAACGTACAGATCTTTCTCGGCTGCTGGGTGCCGAAAGTTGTTAAAAATCAAGGCGAGGAAATGGAGATTTTGTGAACCGAACGCAGGCGAAGATGGCTTTCGGCCATGATAGAGAGTTTAAGTTCGACTTCCGATACCAATACCAATATCGATATCCTCACTTCCGTTCTCATTTTGGTACCGGGAATTTTAAAGCGTTAAGTTATTACGACCGATAAAGAATAGAACACATTAATCGTCACCGAAAATGTGCGGCAACTGAGCTAAAATTCCGACTAAACATGACTCAGGCGATGCCAATAAACAAATAGTTTACGTGTTTATCGTAAAAATTATGAAATATCCGATTTATTTGAGTTTATCTTACAATTCCCACGACTTCCAATACAAGGCCGACTTCGATAGTGGTGACTTCCAATACACTTGTCCTTGTGCTTCTTGTGAGCAGAGCGCATGCGCATGACATGTTGTTGGTATCGGTATTGGTATTGGAACTCTCTACTAAATTGGAGTCGCCGAACGAATGAAACGCATATGCATGAGAATACAGAAGAAATGGTCAAAGAGAACTTACAGAGAGTAAACGAACCTGGCGTGGTTGTTAAATGTTTATTTGATCCTATGACTATGGACGATATCGAAGTCATCGCAGAAAATTTGCCGCAGAAAACTTGAGAAACGCCAGCCATATAAACACAAACAGACGTTTCAACCACAACAGGTGGCATTCAGACAAGCGAGTGTCATAATTCTATGCTTCAATCCGAGTTTTAATTTCTGGGTAAACCATGTTCTGCTGACATTTATTGATAGACAAACTAATCTCCTTGCAAGGGCATAGACGTTTTCAAGTTACAAGCATCACAACACTGTTAAAGTGTTAATTGGAATTACACCAGTGAAGCTTGGGGAGGGCGGACTGTACAGATAAGTTTGTGACTGAGAACTGTGGCTTTCTGGTCAATCTTATTTATACCAGGATTTGGTTCTGGCGGATAGGGGTTTCACTGTCCATGAAAGTGTTCAGTTTTGCCAAGCCAAATTGAACATTCCAGCATTTACAAAAGGAAAAGACCAACTCGATTCTGCTGATGTGCAACAGACAAGAAAGATTGCTACTGTCCGACATGTCGAAAGAATTATTGGTTTACTGAGACAGAAATATACCATTCTTCAACAAACTTTGTCAACTGACTACCTTATTTGCAGAACTACTACTAACTTGACGAATGATATCAAGTTATGCTTACATTTTACCATTGGTCGGAGCATTCTTAGACTTGACTCAACGTGGTCCTTTCTATCGTTCCAGTCTCCCTGAATATGCTTAGCCGATTAAATGAAAGTATGGATTACATTAAAGTAACATATATTCATACAATATAAAAGTGGTTGCATGCTAACTATATTAAACTACTAAAATACGCTTATATCTGGAAATATCCTTACACTAAACTGTATTGATATATTATCATTTCGTGTGTACTGAATTCAATCATGCATTAGAGATTCTCAGTGGCGAGCTAACCATAGAAAAGGCAATTTTATATAAAAAAATTTTAACGATTTCAGTGGATCATTCAAAGTTTTAGAAATGTATTGTCTACAACCTATTTAGATGCAGGTTTAATAGCATGGCATGACCAGTTTCCCTGGCTAGCTTCGCATCATATTCTTCAAGAACTATACTTAATTATTTGATTAACAAATAATTAACATGGTTTTACATACAGCACGAGAATTTCCTGCAAATTGTATTTCGTCCTCAATTTCAGGTTATTAAAACACCACGGTTTGAAAAGTAGGTTTTGCTCGTATTACAGGAGTTCGCCAATTTTCAAGCTATTTTGCTTACAATAGTTAAATTACGTTAGCGAGATCATAATCCTCGTCTCACCCTAAACATCGAGCCTCATTTTTCGTAAGCAAAAGCTTAATTCAATTTTCAACTCAAAAGTCAATTTTCATTTAATGAAGGAGGAAAAAATCTTCAATACCTTCTTCGACTATGCTCGAAACGTGCATTGCTGTAAACAGTTTTAACTTCACAACGAGTAATTTCAGAGTTAGAAAGTAAAATCATTTGAAGCACACAATGGCAAAGTTTTCTAGTCCCACGTTCGTCCGCATACAATAAAAGTTCAATTTGGAATAAGAGTGCCTTGTGGAAACTGGAAATTGAAGGTTGAAACTCAGTTTCACTTGCAGTCACACAATATTTTGGTTTGCAGTTTTTTATTAGCACCTTTCGATAACTATCATGCACTGGTACGCCAAACGTACATGTATGCCAAATGCCATGGCCCAAACAAACGCGACCAATAACAATACCAAACAAACACGCGACCAATATCAATATCAACTTGGTTAGGTACAAACATGACCGGCAGATACTGGAGCTGGATCTGGCGGAATGAAAGATTTCGAAATATAAATGCGTACGTCAGATTCCTCAATCAGTACTTGAAATGTAAGATGAACAACGGCAATCTCTGCATGTTAGGGATTTATTTTCTGAAGAAGCGGTGGGGTAAACACTCTTCCTAGCCTTTGTCCAAAGAGGGGTGGGGGATTTCCGTATCGAGATCATTTTGAGATTTGAGAAGACATGGAAAGACAAAAGAATAAATTTAGAACAGCATGAGATAGTAACATGATAGCGAAACTGCAAGACTACAGACAAGTGCCTCGATGTCAAAGCTCCATTCCTCAGCCACTTTGTCAATGTCGCAACCTGAACCATGACCATAGCCCGATGAGCACTCCCTATCAGATATGGCTGGATCTCGCATCCCTGCTGAATGTCAAATCTTCGCCCTTATTCGCCTGACCTTCGAACAGCCTATAAATACCTGTTAATTGTTTCACTATTGCTGCTGCGGCTATTGTTGTCGCAGTTATTGAAACTATTGTTCCATAATAGGTACGCTATAGTATTAAAGAGTAGATGAACAGAAGCACACCAAGGCATATATTGCATTCCTCTACCTCTCCTTGCTCCCCACATGCAGCTCATAAAAAATTGTTCCTACGACAAAGCCCGTTATAGATGCTCTTTAGAGTTAAATTCTCTTTAACAACTTGGTCCATGAATGAACCCAAATATAGAAGTCTCCACAGTTAAACCTTCAAAAGAAGTGGCCCCTCCCAGGTTATCATACCAGGACATGACTAAGTTATGGGTAAGCTACACTTAAGATCTAGATGTCATGTATGGTGCATTGGCAAGTGTAATGTTATGGAGTATTGCTATATATTGTTGACAGCTACTTTGTTTTGTAAGGCTATGAACTTTCAAAATTAAAATATTTTGCGTAAGTTGCGATAGGATATATGTTGCATGGTTTGTATTAAAACTAGAAAACGTTCAGACTTTGGTGATGCCAATTCCATGAAAGAAATCGAAGCTAATTTCTGCTGGAAATATAAGAATACTCTCTGAAGTGGTGAACTAGGAAGTCAAAAAACCGTGCAACTGCAAACCTGTGCAAACCTGTGCAAACCAACAAGTGCAAACCTGTACAAATATTAACGAATTGCAGCAACGAACTTAAATGAACAATCGATTGTTTCTCACAATACGCTACTGATAGTCCAGACGACATTGATGTTTATGACTTTACTTGGTATGACGATTATATGGCAACGAATTACCTTGACCCATAAGAGCTCTAACATATGCAATATAGCTTATTTCTGTCTTGGAGTGGTTTTCTCCCAGAACTTTTGAATGCATCTTGTACCCAAAGCGCAAATTACTTACTTCCAAAGTTTTGTTTTTCATTTCTTGTGCGACTTTGGCCACAGCGACATATACTTCAGCTTCATTTTCGCTCCCCTCTGGAAAAAGATATTTAATGACAGACAATGCATCATAAAACGACGTAAGCGAATCTTTATAATATCCAACAAAGAAATAAGCTGTTGCTATCGCGCTATGACACTCAAATACGTCGAACGTATCAGAGAATTCATGAAGAATTTTGGAAAGTTGCAGAAGTGCACATTTAAGGGAATCAATTGCTGTCATATATTCATGCATTTCAATTTGAATGCGGCCCTTCCAGTAATAACATCGAAAGATCCCAAGATGCTGTCCATCTACTTCAGGAATTCGAAGTGATTCTGCTATTTGGAAAGCTCTGTCAATGGCCTTTCCCGCCAATTTAAATTTTTCAATATTAAATAAGGTTTCAACCATTGTAATGTAGCCTGAAACTGTCGTCAATCGAATAGCAAAATTGCTTTCCAATGTGACCTGCAACTCAATGGCAAGGGCCTCATGAAAGGACGCTAGACCAGCCTCATACTTTCCTGACTCAACTTGTTTTGACCCTAATCCCAAATACACTATAGATAATAACGACTTATAATTTTCCTTGATCACTGGTAAACAACTTTCCAACAATGTCATGTACATGTTTTCATCTGCATTTAAATAATATAGAAGTTCCAAAGAAATAAGACCATGTGCAAGTGAACGTTCTTGATCGCAATCGGTGCCTACTTCAAGTGCAGTTTTTAAACATTTTCCACTTTCAGTGTTGTTGCCAAGATCGTAATGCACGTGTGCAATAATACAGTAACATTCAACTACATTTCTATACCCGTTCGAGCTTGGATTCTCATCATACAGTTTTTTCCTTATTCGCAGAGCCTGATTAAGTGTTGCAAGGCTGGAAGATAAATCTTTGAAATACATTTGCGAATTCCCTAACAGAAACAAGATTTGAGCGATTTCTTTAGTACCTTCATTGTACAATTTCCTTTTTATTCTAAGTGCTTCCTCAAAAGAAGCAATAGCGGATTCGAAATCTTTTATCCATGTATACGATATAAACATCCTTTCCCGATATAAACATCAGCTAGATTAGCATTACTGATGCTGGTTCCACCATGAGCGGCTGTCATAATTTCAAGAGCCTGGTCAAATGCATTAAGAGCAGATATAAAATTCTCAGCATTATTCTCAGCCAAACCCAATTCAAGGTAACAAAACCCAGTATTCCAATGTTGTTTACCACATTGTTTAAGTGAAAAATCAAGTGCGTTGCGGCATGTGTCAACACTTGGACCTTGCTTTATTTCATTATCGTCCCTAACGATTTGAAAATTATAGCAATGGAGCAATCGCTCCGAACACCTAATCGGAAATGTTCTAGGCCTATCTGTCAAGAAACAACAATCCTCAGACATCACTGATTTTTTAAGAAATGTGACTTTTTCATCCAAAAGAACCTCTTGTCCCACACCAACACCAAGAATAGCTAAAAGAGAATCACCATATGTAAACACTGGAAATAAATATTGTGGAGCATTGTATGCGTTATTTTCTAGCTGCTGCTCTAATTGATGAACAAAGTTTAAAAAGTAGAGTTGTGTCTCCGCGTTGAAAATTACTTTTGACCACATAGTTAAAAGATAGACAAACAATATTAATTGCTCGCCTTTATATTCCTTTTGCGTCATGGATAAAGTTTCCTCACAATCACCAATTACAAAGAGATTGTAATTACCAATTTCTTTGCAAATCTCGATGGCCTCTCTACGTAACTTGTTCGATTGGTTGCACTCGTTTAAATCAGTATATAAAAGTGCAAGGAGCTGAAGGCATAAGCACTTTACAAGTTGTTGATCAGCACAAGTTTGTAAACCATCGAGATGTTTTTCAATACATTCCATACCTAACTTCACATTTCCTTTAGAAATAAGCGAAATTTCTTCATAACAACCTAATTTTGCTCCACTACCATCCGATAACAACATGACGTCTTCGCGTATATGTTGAGGTATTTCTAAATACTCAGACGAGAAAAAGAAAGAAAAGGCAATAGTTTGAAAATATTTGCTGACATGCAATTTTGAGTTAGCATCATAACATTTCTGTGTTCTGCATTGTTCTATAACCAAATCATATAATTTAGGAATATTTAGTACTGCACGAGCGGGACAACCAATATCTAACGATGCGCCGTAGGGTAAACCAATAAGAGAAAGAAATATTTCAGACTTGGATAAGATGTGAAAAAGATCTTGAGAATTTTCCAGACTACATGTACTTGTCGCAAAATGACGCATGGCAATCGATAGATTGATCAGTGTTATTTTCAACTAACGAAACAATGAGTTTCATTGCAAGAGGAACATGAGACGAAATTCTAGCCACATTTGCAACAACACTTTCAGAAAATGAAGGAAGAAGTAAACGAGCAAATTTGACAGAGGAATCTGGATGAAGGGGTCGAATTCGGATGTCTCGGAAACCTTCTATTTGATCGCGCATATTTTCTAAAAGCTCCCTCGTTGTAAAAACTATATTGATG